AAAAAAAAAAAAAAAAACAGAAAAAATGTTTTCTGTATTAGACCCACAGATCCTATCTGCTTTGTCGAAGACTGTTGAAACTTGTCATCCTTTTTCTTTTATGAGATGGTGAGATTATGGAATTTATGGATTCTCAAATACGGTCTGAGTCTCCTGGGCACTTACTAGTATAGGTCACATGTACTGCCACTCTGGTGAAGAACTCAGTAAATAGGTTTTAAAAGTCTTTAGATCAAAGCTTAGAATTTTACAATTGCTACAAATTCACCAGCATCCTCAGAGAAGATGGTAGTACTGCAAGGGTTGGGTACAGTCCACTCTCTGCTAGTGGGAAAACACAGCCTCAAATCAATTAATGAATTGTTCATCTCTACCACTAATTGCTCCTTATTGAAATCCACTTGTGATGGGAGCTGCGCTGACTCAGGCTGGTTGCCCTGGCACTCGGGGAGGCGAGGCTACACGTTCGAGGCCAACCTGGTCAGCACTGGTCAAACAAAAAACCTGGTCAGCACTGGTTCAAACAAAAAAAATCCACTTGTGAGAGTGTCAACTTGAAATATATTTTCAGTTGTTCCTGAAAACCACCATCATTTCTGCTGTTACCTGCGTAGAGTTCTGCAGAGGCTGAAATCTCACTTAGGCACGCTGGGTGTCACCCAGGGTCACCAGCCCTGTGACTTCCTAGATGCAGTCAGCCGACTTCAAAAACTCCAGGAACTCTTGGAAACACATCTTCTTCCCACGGAGCAAGAGCCATCCAGGTAATGCAGCACACCAAGCCTTCTTTATCCCCTGTCATCTTCCTCATCCTCTCTCTCAGCTGGTGCATATGGGATTATTCCTTCAACTTTTGTGCTCCAGGGAAGTCACCAGTTTCGCCATCCTGAGCTCAGAAGAAGGGAGAAAGCCCATCTCTAATGGCCTGTCCAGATGGTTGACTGCAGCCTGCTGGCTCCTCCTAGGTCTCACTAGCCTGGCTTCAGCCTTTTTTACAGCACTTTATAGCTTGGAATTGAGCAAAGACCAAGCCACCAGCTGGATGATCTCAATTATTTTATCAGTGCTTCAAAACATCTTCATCAGCCAGCCAGGAAAGGTATGTGCGGGACGGGAAGAACCACTGGAGTTGCAGAAGTTAGGGAAACTGAGGTCCCTGGGTGTCAGGTGGTTTTGACAATGCAACATAACAAAAAACAAATAGGCAAACCAGGCTGGGTGCAGTGGCTCATGCATGTAATCCCAGCACTTTGGGACACCAAGGCAGGCAGATTGCTTGAGTCCAGGTGTTTCAGACCAGCCTGGGCAACATGATGAAACTCCATGTCTACAAAAATTAGAAAAAATTAGCCAGGCATGGTGGTGTGCTCCTGTAGTTCCAGCTACTTGGGAGTCTAAGGTGGAAGGATGGCTTGGCCCAGAGGTTGAGGCTGCAGTAAGCCGTGATTGTGCCACTGCATTCCAGCCTAGGTGACAGAGCAAGACCCTGTCTCAACACTAAAAAACAAAAAGAAAAAGGCAAACTGACATTTGTTAGGGATACATGAAATTCATGACAGAAAAACTAGTAAGTATGGCAGAAAAGGATTGAGGAGCGAAGAGGACAGAAACAAATCAACAACCCAAACCACTTTGAAAAAATAACAAAAAACTTAAAATGTTTTTAATTAAGAAAAATGTCAAACCCACACAAAAGTGTGAAGACTAGTATAATGCACTCTAAAGTCCTACCACTCAGCTTCAACAATAACCATCTCATGGCCAATCTTGTTTCATCTATTATTTGGGGGAACAATATCAGACTTCACATCACTTTATCCATTTCATGTATTTCAGACTTTATATTTCTAAAAGATATGGACTGTTCCTTCTAAAACATAAATATAAAGGGACAGCCTGAGGGAATTTTGGGGGTGATGAAACTACTTGGTATCTTGACTGTAGTGGTGGATATACAACTCTAAGTATTAATCAACACTCATGGAATTATACACCAAAAAGCGAACTTTTTTTTAACTATATGTAAGTTAAGATATAAATTTTTTAAAGCAAAACCTGTGATTGCAGTGGCCAAAATACATGTAAGAAATTCAGCTTCGCTAGTCCAATAAAACTATCATATTGCATTTTTGTTTTAATAATGGCAAAGAAAAATAATAATACACAGTAATGCCAAGGAAATGAACAGCCAGTCCTGGTTAAGGGAAGTCTGGCAATATATAGTGACAACCTGCAAATTCTGCATCCTTTTGCTAGAGAGGTTTCACATCTAAGGATCCATCTCCAGAAAATCCATAGTGGCCAGGAGCGGTGGCTCACGCTTGTAATCCTAGTACTTTGGGAGGCTAAGGCGGGCAGATCACTTGAGGTTGGGATTTCAAGACTACCCGGGTCAACATGGTGAAACCCTGTCTCTATTAAGAATACAGAAATACCAGGCCGGGTGTGGTGGCTCATGCCTGTAATCCTAGCACTTTGGGAGGCCGAGGTAGGCGGATTACCTGAGGTCGGGAGTTTGAGACCAGCCTGGCCAACACGGCGAAACCCTGTCTCTACTAAAAATACAAAAATTAGCCAAGTGTGGTGGTGAGTGCCTGTAATCCCAGCTACTCAGGAGGCTGAGGCAGGGAGAATCACTTGAACCCGGGAGGCAGAGATTGCAGTGAGCTGAGATCGTGCCATTGTACTCCAGCCTGGGCAGCAGAGTGAGACTCTGTCTCAAA